CCCTGGAAAAGTTTGTCAAACCACAGACAGAAAACTTTTTTTTTTTTGATTAGAGGATTGTCAAAATTGTTCAGATCCAACTTACCAAAGCATATAACAATATAACATGATCAGACCAAAAGTAAAAGCAGTGAGGGATGCATTCTTTGCAAAAGAAATAAAAAGTTTTCTGCTAGGATTAAACTAGTGTATGATCTACAAAAAAAAAATGACACAGGGAGATGTCTGAATGAATCCAAATGCAAGGGCTGCTGCTGGCCTTCAAGACTCAGAATGAGAGACCCTTGTACTTTCACGACTTACCTTACTCATGAATGCTTAGATGTTTGCTTACCTTTTAGCAGGAAACTCCAGTTGCCTTCTTATCTTAATGAGAGAAAGCAACAGGGTGACATACCTTACGGGTCAGGATCCAAAGAGAACTGTCTGTCAATTTTAATTAAACACTATAAGATAAAAATGAGACTGATTGAGTGTGGACGAGGTTCTCATTTGCAGAACACAACAGACAAAGAAGAGCACTCTGAATAAGATAACTGCCAGCATGCAATGACATAGTATGTTGATTTCGTTGAGGTAGCATAAAAAAGAAAATGGAAGGTCATTGCTCTACCCAAATTTAATTTAGCTGTAGGTTGCCATTTAGCAATCATTCATTTATAAAATATTACATTAAAAATCTAAGTCAAATTATTACTACAACCTTCATTTCTTGTAAAAAGAAAATGGGGCTTTAAACTACGAAGTCTTCTAGCTCCTCTTTTGAAAATGAATTTCTTCTTGCAAAATGCTATGCCCAAGTTTTTGATTTATCCCTAATATAGAAAGAGAGAAAATATTATAAGTAGATATCATTTCAAAGGCACCCAAGATATCGACACAACTTTCTTTTTACATACACTGTTTTGAAGGCAGCAATAAAGATATTTTCACTGATTGCTATTAAGTAATTTTGGAGCAAGAGACAGAATAAAACCAATGAAGTTTATTTATACTTGCCTTCCTATATCTACGCTGTCTATAAGTAGTGATAGCAAGTAAATAAAAATGCATCATATTTTAAAATTATTGTTATCTATTGCTGTTCACAATCTATAGTTATTTGCTTCTTTGTTAATGTTATGAGGGAGAAATTATAACTCCACCTTGAAGATGAGACAAGTTAAGTAGTGGGTTAATGGTCCCATAGTTATTAAATGACAGATTCAATGCATAAATCCATGTTGTATTAATTCCAAAATCTGTACTTGTTTGTTTAGTGTTTAGCTTTTCAGTTTCAATGTCTTTCCGTGCTAATAGTCATTGAGCATTGTGGTAAGTTGGAGTTTGAGTGCACACAGAAAATGATTTGGGAAGAGTAGGCCCCGAACAGTCACTACGTTGCATTGGAGATTGAAAAAAATTAAACCACAAATGCTAATTAAGTATCAATTTGTGATGTTCAATTTTATCTTTATCTTGACATATAGGTAAAATGACTGGTAAAATATTTATAGATGTTCTGTAAGGCTCTTTCAGAAAGAAATTAACATGAAAGTGAGTAGACTAAAGATAAACTACCACTAGCATCCAATCCGTTTGTCTGGGCGGAACACAAGATTCTTCCCACAGAGGAAGGAAACTTGCTTCCCGTTTCCCCTTTTAGCTGGGACATTCATTTTCTTCTGTCTTTGGCCATTAAAATTTTCTAGTTCCTTTGTCTGTAGGCTGTGGCTGTGGGCTGAATTATACCACCTGCTCTTCGAATTCTCCAGTTTTTTGGACTTCCTCGGTTCCACAACAGCGTGAGCCAATTCCCATAATAAATCTCATACACTATCCATATCTTACTGACTTTGTTTCTCTGGAGAAACCTGACTGCTACAGTACTACAGACCAGAAAGTCAGCCAGCTGTTGCAGAAGACTCTCAGACTTAGCTCATTCTCTGAGACAACAGATTACATATGCTCTAGGGGGAAGCTGAACTAAATGAAGGCAAGGGAAGATTGAAATGAAACAGGATGGGATGTATTCTCAGAGTTCCAGATCTCAACATGGAGAAGATGAGGAGGAATAGGAAATGATTCACGAACATCTCCTATAAGTTTTAAAGAAAAAAATCCTTAATAAGAGATAATTTTCCTATGATTTATCTTTTATAATTGGTCATTTTACTCACTGATGGTTTGATTAACTAATTTTGGGTTAATTTTCATTTTACTGCAAGTAAATAAATTAATCTGTCTTCTATTTTGGAGGTCAGACAATCAATGTAATATTTTTTGTCAAGTAAAGCTGGAGTGTTAGGCAACATAGCTATTCTACACAATTTAACAATTTCTACAAAATACAGTTTCAGGTACTGTAAGCATCTAAGACTTTAAATGAAACGTTCTGCTGGTTCTAAATCTCATCCAAGTGTATTGTTGGATAAAAGTTTCATTTTGACTTTTTTTTAATAATTTCCGTTTTTAAAAGCATTAAATTCATAAGGAAATGATCATCCTAAAAATTTTAGAGGAAGGATATTCTGAATGCCATCTTATGCTTGTATTAGTGGTTTGGGCTATGTCTTCTATAAATTTGTTGTAATTATTGGTTGACTTAACTGTCTTATTAGGAATCAAATCAGTAGGAAGGAAGTTATTGTACTACTTCATTCGCTCTCTTGGAAATGCGGGGTAACTATCAACAGACAGACATAGCAGCAACAGTGCTCTCTTTTGAAGTACTCATCTTACATTAATATTATGGTTATTAGCTTGCAGAACTCTAGTGTAACACCAAATTTTAAAAAAGTTTTTGTTCCTTTTATTTCTTAATTATTTTTGGACAGTTTATTATTGCTCCAGAAACTTGCTTATATTAATGTCATTTTCCTTAACTGAGTACTATAAAGCAACAATGGTTTTGATAGGAATGTGTGCTTATGTACTTTAAATGGGGTCTGACTTGTAATATGGCAAGTGCCATCGTTGATGATTATGTAGTTTGAAGTGAAGTTATGACTTAGAAATAGATGTGGCATATGTTCTAACTACTTTAAAAATATGCCTGTGGGAAACTTGAAAAAAAAATCACAAATCCTGCTTGAATTGAAGAACTGCATAAATTGACTTACAATTTATTTCTTTGCATAAAATGTTTATACCCCTTAACATTTGAACATCAGATATCTCAAAATTTAATTTTATGTTTTGAATAACACAATAAGAACAGCAGCTGCACCTACAGGATTTTTCACTTGATGTCAGACTATCTTCTGTCTACTTTACACTAGTTACCATTTATTCTATAATCTTCTTAGCCATCCTGTCCTACTTAACATGTACACAAGAAAATCTCAATAGTTAATTGATATTACATACACACATACCAGAAGAATAAAACTGTGAGGGGAAAAAAAACAAGGAAACTTCTTTAAAAAACAAGCAAACACCTAGAGTCATGTGCAGAACTAGCAAATAATTTTATTTACATAAAAATGCACACATACTTCATTTGTACACAGAAAATCCTAAGTATATATTACCCACATATTTTACAATAAATAGTATTTTACTCATGTTTCTAGATGAACACAAAAAGATGTCTCAAAGTATTACTCACCAACCACAAATTTACCAAAGCACCCAATGAACTCAAAGGAGAAACTTCAAGCATGGACAACCACATACTAACCCAAGCACAACTTGTACAAAAAGCAAAATAAGACACTGCAGATATCACCAGGAAAAGAACAGAAAGAAATGTGAAATAGAGAACAGAGCTGCTGCCTTTCTGACCAGTGTGATAAGAGCATATTTGTTGGTTAGGACTTACCTTCCATGAACCATCTTTGAGTATTTTATTCAATTGATTTTGTACAGATGAGAAGCGATAAAGAAGTTAACATCTACTACAGGGAGAGTAATCACACATCTGGAGCCGTAAAAGCCTTCATCCTTTTGCTTCTTCTCACATAATGTCAAGTTACATCATAAAGATGGCTACCCAACTCTTCTAGAAGATGAGGACACTGAGAGTAAAGTAATTTCTAAAGCTCAGGTATGTGAACATTGTAGGTATCAGCACTTAACATTTAGAAATATCCAAATATAACTCATATTTCCACACAGATTTCTTATTCTCATTTTACTGATTACTTAAACACACAAAAGAAAACCTAATCTAAAGGGCTACAAATAATGAGCCCATGACTGGAATGTTCTCCCCAGAAACACTTCCTTTTGATTTCAGAATTGTTCCATAAATGTATATAAAATTGGATTACCAAATGAAGGGAACGAAGTCCTAAACTTTGATGTGTATAGAACTTTTAAAAACAACCTCCCGGCATGAGAGTGTTTGAAAACATTGTCATCTTCATTCTTGTTGAGCAGATTTAGAACCACATTTGCTTTTCTAATACCCAAATGGTATGTTACACTACAACTCAAACAGAAATCATAAGGGCAAAGTGCTTTGACCACATTCTACTCAACTGTCCACATGGTAATGGGTTTCATTCTCTTGTGAAGCCATAGCCATTAAAACTGGCACAAATATGAAGAGACAGGAGATTTAGAGAAGGGTTTGCCACCAGAAGCACAATTCTTCTCTTAAATACCTCCTTTTCAGTTATTCTGCTGAACCTAACTCTTTTTAAGGAAACCTTCCAAAACATTTCAACAGCAGGCTCATTTGAAGAGCGATGCTTATCACATGCACAATTCGGTTCCTTCCTTCACACATGGCTACCAGTGATGCTTCTTACAGAGAAGCAGTGTTTCCAGAATGTTACCATCTCCCATGAAAATGACGGTTTCACAATCAGTTTGACTTTTTTGATAATGGTACTTATCAGCGAAACAAATGCACTCCATATTTGAATATATTCTTTTAATTTGAAAACTGGACAAGGAATGGTAGTCCACTGTCAGAAATAAAAAGGTTATTTTTCCATGGAGAGCTGGGGCGGTTTCTTGGGCGTTTTAGGTAAATTGACGCGAGTATTTCATTTCTACTACTGAGAAAAGAGTCATCCAGAAGATAAGTATGGTGTCTCACTGTGGTAATTGTAGTCAGGGCAAACCTTTTGCACAAGTTTATAATCAATGCTGTAAAAAGCAATGTAAATGCAGATAACCTTAAAGGGTTTGGAACATAACCAGGACACATGGCTCTGTGTCTGCTCCTGGTAGCAGATCTTGGAAGGGTCGAAATTGCACAGAGCGGTCTTCTTTGCCCGATCTGTTTTTTCATACTCAATACGGCAGTTGAAAGCTTTGGATTCCTTGGTCTCCAAGGTAGACTGGGGGGATACCTCAAATTCCACTATTTTAGAAGGAGGTACCAAGCTCACTGAAACATTGCCCAGGCCTGTTGAATTGTGTCGGAAATAAACACTGAACGTTCCATTTCCGTGGTCGACAATTTTCCCTGTGATGAGTAGGTTAAGTTTAACGGTCTTAATGTTAGAATGGAAGTCACCCCAGCCAAACATTTTCTTAAATTTTCCTGTTTTCACTATTGGCCGTCTTTTAGTTCTTGCCAGTGGCTCCTGAATCTCCGTGATGTTGGCCAGCCAATCCCAAAAGTTTTCCATACTGTCTGTATATGCAGGCTTTGGACCCGGAGGTTGCTTAACAAACAGGCGCAGCGGACTGGTAATCCGTGTGTGTACCACATTTCCAACCATTGCTCCTGGAACATCTCTGTCTTCCCAGGCCACACCCTCCGTAGTGTGGATCACTTCTTCACTGTCACAAAACAGCTGTGGGGAAAGAAGAAAGATAAATGTACTTTGGGGCAGGCTTTGACTATAAGCACAGATTGATAAGGAAAAAAGAAATGAGATAATTTGGATTCCAGTGATCAGTTCACACGCAGGTATGTTCATCAATAGAAGGACAAAGAGCATTTAATCCAGACACTGGAAACTGGTGAGAAAAGTTTTAAAATGCTGAGGTTAAAACAAAGTCCTCCAGCTTCGATGTTGCTGTGGTCTCCCTATCCTCAGCATTTAATCAGCAGATTGGCTCAAGGAGCGGTTTTTTGGCCCTCATGTGATAAACTGTTAAATTTGTGAATATTAGTCCTTTAGTCAAATCAGTACATAAATACTCAAATTTCTATCAAGGAGCTATAAGACCATGTAAGTGTATAATATTAATAAATCTTTTAAATATATTGTGAAAGATTATGACATTATATTACTCAAAGACTTAATACATATAATTTCATAGGCTTCATTAAAAATTCCATCTCAAAATATGTAACAAAAATAATGATTGGTATTCAGTTTTCCATGGAAATTTTAGATGAAAAACGCAATTATATATTTAGTTGCCTACATTAACAAAAATGATATGAAAGGGTACACACTGATTAAGAGACTATATAGCTTAATATATTGTATTATAATAAAGCCCTACTCCAATGAAGGATTACGAAGAAAGACCTCGATGTCTGTTTCATAGGTACCAAAGTATTTTGGTTCAAACCATAGCCACTGAGACAACATTTTTATTTAGATTTGATTTCTCTTTGTATTGTGTAAGTAGTAGAGAGCCTCATGAATTCCCAATATCATTTAGGTAGGTCAGTGTGGATTTTGAGGGGCAAGGTTATGACGTGTATGACGTTATAGAGTGGGGATCTATGGGTAGCCTCTTATCTGAGTGGTACAGCACCACTATTGTAGTGATTCCAGAGAAAACCGTCAGTATGATGAAGAGGAGGAGGAACAAAGGGAGGCTGGGAGCAAGCACTGCTTCTCCACCCCATGCAACCTACTTCACATCAGATTATTTTCAATAAAATCTCAGAAGAGATTAGAGGCAGCACAGACTAAAAATATCACAGATCTAGTGTGAATTTGTGATGTTTCTTAATGGTCACAAAACCTTGGAAGTTTAAATGTTAGAAGAACCTAGCCAGATATGTCTTAACATATCTAGTACCAGAATCACTGTGGGGTAGGGATCCAAAGTTTCAAAACTGTGGAGTTTTACCTTTCCTTTTTTTTTCCTTCAAAATTCCTTTCTTACCACTGAAAGTACTATAGTTATTTTAAGGGTAATTTGGTATAACACATATTCTTACTTTTAGGAGAACTCACATCCATCAACATCATAGGTGTTTATGCAGGCAGGTGCTGAATCAATGATTTCTAGACTCATCACGGCAGGGGTGGATCCCTTGCAGAGAAAGATACTTGGGCCACTCCATTTGGCTAAGAAACTTTTTTAAAGTCCCAGATGAATTGGAATTTCTCTAGTAGTCATACATTAGGGGAGGGAAATGACTGACGCCTGCTGCCAGACATAGGATGAGCTTGTCTTCCAGGAAGAGATTTTACACAGTTCTGACAGTTAGCACATTACCTTGCTTCAGAAAAAAAAAAAGTGATGCGCAGGGTCACGTCTTGACCAGGACTGCTTAGTTGTACACATCCCTCTTGCTTTTTCCTTTAAACTTAAATCTTATTGTCAGAGTATACCAAAGGGACTTGGAGGGATCTGTAGATCTGTTTATTTTTCATTCTTCCAAAAGTGGCCACCCTGAATACATGTTGCTTTCCTGCTTTGTTTCCCCACTAATATTTGTCTCTTTAGTTGGTGTGTTCAAGATGTCGTTTAGCAAGTATTGTTAGGGACGCCAGGGCCCACTGTCTTGTACATGTCTTGTACATGGTGAGCAAGCACATTAACACTCAACTGAGGGGAGAGGCAGGGAGGGGAGCAGAGAAAAATGTAGAGCTCAATAAAAATCAATAATAAAAAAGAATGATGTGCTGGAAAAAAAACTCAGCTGTAGTTCAGTTCTTTAGCTCTTGGTTCTGATTTATTTTGATAGAGGGTATTTCCAGTTTTATCCGTGTTGGTCTCAGAATCATGAGGCTTCCTGCCTTTGCCCCTTCAAGTGTTATAAATACAGGCATGTGCCCCTGTACCTGGTGTCACTACTTCTATCCCTGTGGTATTATAGATGACATATTTAGGATATATATATATATGTGTGTGTGTGTGTGTGTGTGTGTGTGTATACTTACATATATGTATATATATGATATTATAACCATAGCTTTTTATTTTGAACATTCCTGGTTATAATGTATATAAATCAAAGGCAATAGACACAGACCTGATTTAGTTTCTGAAGGACTGAAAAATTTGTGTTAAATATTACATCTTGAGCCCCAGGGAGATCAAGACCACATGAGCAGATAAGAAGCCCAGTTTCCCTCCTGCAGGATTGGGACTGTTGCTGCCTACTTTCACCTGTGTACCGACTTTGTGAACTTGGCCTTGCTTGGGAAATATGTCTGATACAGCTGCTGTTTGCTGAGCATCCCCTATACATAAACTGTTCCTTTGCTTCTGATCTAGACTTGACTTGGCACAACTTCAAAACATCTTACCCCACGCCTGTTTGCCTTCCTCTCTCCCATAGGTCATATTCCTTCTGATTGCCCTTGCAAGGTGCATTTTTTACTTACATTCTTCTTTTTAAAATAATAGGGATGGAGAGATAGGTCAGTGGTTAAAGGCACTTATTATTGCAGAGGATCTAAACCCAGTTGCCAGAACCCTTGTCAGGTGTCCAACAGATGTCATTAACTCCAGATCCGGGGATTCTAATGCCTTCCTCCGTGCCCCTGCACACACATTTCTCCCTTTCCTTTCTTAACTCCAAATCCTCTCATATACCCCTCCTTGCTCTTTCAAATTCCTGGCCCATTTTTTCATTAATTTTGTTACATGTACACACATGTGCACATGCTTGCATACACATACACACGCACCCATAAATACAGAAACGGAGCCTGCTCATTCTGCATATTATTACTTGTTTGTATGTTTCATGGCTGACCATATGGTGTTTCTCTCACTCTTATCGTTCCTTCCTTCCTTATACTTCCTTGAGTGGGAATGAGGCCTTCTGGGCTTCTCTCCACCCCCTTTACTATGTCTACTCTTGTGGTCTTTGTTCATCTCATGTTCAGTTCAGTTTAGGCAGTCTTGCTGGAGAGATTTTATGGGTATAGATTCTGACATTACTAAGAGACACAAAATCATAGCAAACTCACTGATCCACTGACTTCTACATTATTTCTGTTGCTACAACTATTTCTGAGCCTTAACCACAATTCTGTACTTGATTGGCTGTGGTTTTCTGTAGTGGTCTCTTTCTGGTGCAAAGAGAACATTTCTTGATGAGAGGTAAGGACTACACTTATTTGTGGTTGTAAGGACACATGTTTAGAATGTAGTTAGGGATTATGCTGCTTTGCTAAAGTGGAGGTTGTAGGTTTTTCTCCAGGAAGATGACGTCACTAGCCCTGGGTAGTTGGCTAGGTTTCCCTCCTACAAGTGGGTCTTGTGGCCATTTCACGAGCTGTTGGTTATTACCAAGATTTGTGTGTCCCTACTGCAGCCTGAGTTATCATGCTATGCTGACATTTGTTATGTCCCATGGGCGAGACTGTTGGTTGCCTCCCTCTTTTGGAATTTTGCATGGCACCTTCTGGTACTATGAGAGTTGGTCCTCAGGGAGGAGGCATTTGGCTTAGATCCAGCTGTCTGAAGTGCATGGTGTTTTCGGCCTCAGGACATATCTTCTGCCTTTGGAGGAGCAACCAAGGGCTCTAGCAATAGTCTATAATGTTTTGGGATTTTTTTTTTTCGATGATCCTAACATTTCAGAAGATAGTTTCTCATGCCTGGTTTAGAAGTTCTTGTTAGATGGTTTCACCTCGTGGGGAAATATTGTCAACCCAATGAAAAAAATTTCATTTGAACTATATTAAATATCTATCATATGAAGCCATTTAAACTTTAATAACATTTATTGTGTGTGTCTTTGTGTGTGCGTGTGTGTGTGTGTGTGTGTGTGTGTTTGTATTTGGAGGTCAGAGGGCAGCTCCCAGGAGTTGGTTCTCTCTTTCTACCATGTAGTTATTAGAGGACTAAACTGAAGGATTAAATCAGGCTTTCTGGCAAGCATCTGTACTCACTGATCAAACTCAGCAGCCCCTGAATTTTATAACCTTCTACCAATTTATACCTTATTGCAGTCTTTGCTACCATAAATCGTTTGTCTTTTCTTCCTTTAAGTGTTTATTGCATGTTACATGTTTTTTCTGAACTTTTTCTGCTTAGAATATGTCTGTTCAATCAGTGCTTTGTTCATCCTCCCTACCAGTTTTTTTTGAGAACCCCTAAATATTGAACCTACTTCAGTGGCAAGTGTCTTCCAATCTTACTTAATTCTAATGAATTAGGACATGCAGTTAACCTCAGCCTCTTATGAGACCCTCCCCTTTCTGCTATGACCACTGATGTGGTAGGTCTGAGGTTACTCGCTGTCTTGGTGTTCTATTGCTCTGAAGAGACACCAAGACCACTGCAACTCTTATAAAGGAAAACCTTTCATTGGGGTTGGTTTACAATTCAGGGGTTTAGTTCATTATCATTGTGGAGAGAAGTAAAGCAGTGCACACACAGATGGGTGTGGTACTGAAGAAGGAACATAGAATTCTACATCTGGATTGACAGGCAGGAGAGAGAGAGAGAGAGAGAGAGAGAGAGAGAGAGAGAGAGAGAGAGAGAGACCTGGCCCGGCATTATGAAATCCCTGGTGACATACTTCCTCAACAAAGACATACCTCCTAATAGTGGAACTCCTTAATGACTAGGTATTCAAATATATGAGCCTATGGGGGGCATTTGTATTTAAACCACCAAACTCGCTAATAAAAGCAAATGACCT